TGCTCTGTCACCCAGGCTGGAGTGCAGTGGTGCGATCCCAGCTCACTGCAACCTGACCTCAAGTAATCCACCCATCTGGGCCTCCCAAAGTCCTGGGATTATAGGCATGAGCCACCGCATCTGGCCTATTTGAACATTTTTGGTATTTCATATTGCCTATTATGATTTTGACTATATCTTTGTATAAAGTTTTGAAAGAAAAACACCAGTCTATTTAGAACCATTTTTATCACTTAAATTTAATTAGAATACAGAAACCTTTTGACCACGCAGGTCCCTTTACCTGTCCTCTTTCTATTAAAGTTGTCTTATATATTGCATCGACATACATTGAAAACCGTATCAGGCGATGTTATATTTTTTGCTTTCAACAATCAAACATATGTTATAAAAAACTCAAGAGGAGAACGGTCTATTATGTTTTACCCAGATACCTCCCATTTTTGTTGCCTTTCTTCATTCCTGAGGTTCTAAGTTTCCTTTTGGTGCTGTTTTTCTCTGAAGGACTGGCTGCCTTTGCTGTTCCCTTAGGACAGGCCAACTGCTGCCTGTCCTCCCCGTTTTCATGCATCTCAGAGTCTTTATTTCACTTTCATTCCTGAGGAATGCCCCACTGGATAAGAGTTCTGAATTGCCACTTACTTTCTTTCAGCACTTTAAGAAATGGGCCACTTCCTTCTGACTTCCACGGTTTCTGATGAAAATTCTGCTATCATTCAAATTGTTGTTTCCCTATAGGTAATGCGTCATTTTTCTCTGGCTGTTTTCAAGATGTCTTTTAGTTTTCAGCAGTTTATGATGTGTCTGGGCATTGACTTCTTTGAATTTATCCTGTTTGGGATTTACTCAGCTTCTTGAAGCTAAGATTTCAGCCATCCTGGGATTTTTTCAGCCATTAATTATACATGTTTGTCAAGCACTGCACTCCCTTATCCATCTGTGACATGACTGTGAGACCTGTCGGTATCATCCCAGAGATCCCTGAAATTCTGTTCGTTTTTCAGTGACTTTTTCTGTTCAGATTGGATGATTTTATCAGTCTGTGTCTTTCTTTTGTCATTTCCATTCCATGGAGTCTATCCAGTGAATTTTTAAAATGTTATAGTATTTTTCAGTTCTAATATTTTCCTTTGGTTCTTCTTTATATTACCTCTTTACTGATATTTTCTACTTGAATTTGTTTCAGGAGTGATTGCTTATTTGAGCTTTTTAAATATTAACTACTTAAGTCTGTAATGGCTTCTGTTGGCTTTTCCCATTAGGATTATTTTCATGGTTCTTTATATGCTGAATAATTTGGGATTGTATTGTAAACATTTTGAATGTTACATGATGAGACACGGCTTTTAAGTCCTATAGAAAATGTTGATATTTTTATTTTATTATAGCAGGATAGCAGGCAATTATCTGGTGAGGTTCAGGCCAAAAACTCCAACCTTCCTTCTGTGAGTTTTGGTCCCAATGTCACTTCAGTTTTCAAAGCCTTTGCATTGCTATTTGGATTCATCCCATATAGGCCCCATCTTGTGGTCAGTCTGAGGCCTGACAGAGCTCACCTGTAAACTCGGTTCTCAGCTGTCTTTGGTATGACTTAGTATCATCACTACCCGTAAGCACTGTGAATAGTGTGACCAGGTGAGAGTGAGTTCATAAATAACCTTGTGGAGTTACTTTCTTAAGCTCCTCCCTCTCTGCTGTCTCCCCAATACTTCCTTGTTCCCTAGGGCTCCCGTTTCTTGGTTGTCTGGCCCAAAATTGCCCACTTCTGCAATTAAGCCATATCCCTCAGAGAGGAAAAGCGCACATCAGCTCAGCTCCACGCTCACGGTGACGCAGCTCTACTCAGTGGAGATGTGCGAGGCTCTCCCTCGGGCTGCCGGCTCCTACAGGCTCCCACTGGCAGCTTCGGCATGAGAAAATGGGGAAAAGGAGAGGGAAGGGGGTCATTTCCGTCACTCTCTGAGCTTCAGCTGTTCCTTCCCCTCCTGTCTCTCAAGCCAGGCTGCTTCTGGATCTCTACACCACAGTGCCCACTTCTGTGTTTTAGCCTGTGTTAAGGCCAAATGATACATGAAGAAGAAGAAAAAAAGGAAGACTCACCACCACTTTAGTGGTACTTAGAAGTCTAGTGTACCCAATCTGTGTGTTGATACTTGCTTTTCAGAGTCCTCAAATAGCTGTGTGACACACTCCGTCCATATTTTATAGATGTCTTCAGCAAAAAGAAAGTGGGGGAAATGTGTGCTTACTCCATCTTCCTGGAACTAGAATCTTCCCTAAGATATTAAGGAACAAAAATTGGAGAATGTCTATAGCATTATCCAATATTTGTGCAAAAAAAAGTGTGGGCATGTACCACCACAGAAAAATGCATAGGAAAAAGGTCTGCAAATTTACACACAAAATTTAAAACTGGTTTATTCTAAGAAGGGGAGTAGAACTTCAACGAGAGGAGGTTGTTGTTGAAGGGAACTTTCCATTTTAACTCTTTTTTTTTTTTTTTTTGAGACGGAGTTTTGCTCTGTTGCCCAAGCTGGAGTACAGTGGCGTGATCTTGGCTCACTGCAACCCCCTCCTGGGTTCAAACGATTCTCCTGCCTCAGTTTCCTGAGTAGCTGGGATTACAGTTGCCCGCCACCATGCCGAGCTAATTTTTGAATTTTTGGTAGAGATGGTGTTTTACCACGTTGGCCAGGCTGGGCACGAACTCCTGACCTCAAGTGGTCTGCCCACCTGGGCTCCCAAAGTGCTGGGATTACAGGCGTGAGTCACCACGCCCGGCCAACTCTGTACTTCTGAGTTATTTCAGCCATGCACTATTACTTTCATAACTTTCAAAACAGAAGATGTGAAGGAAAAGACTAGGACAAATTAGAGCTCAACTGCAAGTGTAAAGACACGATTGACCTTTTCCTGGGCATATCTGATGTATCTGGTTAAACATTTACCTACTGAAAAATCCTTTCAGGAGTCAATATGATCATACATTTTCTTCAAGTCTTTTAGGTACTAAGCAGAATTATTTCTCACAAAGTAGTCTCAGCCTATAATGTTAATTAACTTTATTCACATTTTTCCAAGTAAATACAATATTAACTATAAGCTAAAAATGATACATAGTTCTTAGAAAATACAACCCCGAATTCCTGTGGCCTGGGCTTTGTGATCATATGTACCCAGCCTTTGTTCCTCCAGCATTTTAAAGTGAATGCAGTGCTCAAAACAAACTTACAATAGCATAGGGAAACCTTCCCTAAATAAAGGTTTGTTGTTATGAGAGAAATCTAAAAAGAGGCCTCTAATGTCTTCATTCAGGTGTCCAGAATTTCAAAAAGAAAATAATATTAAAAGAGCAATCTATTTTTTTTTCCATCTCATACTAGCAGGCTTGAAGGAGGCAAATTTGGACCAAAAATCTAGACAGAGCTCCTTGCATAGGATTTTGTATTAAGCACACCTTGCGCCGAATAACTCCACATCCACCCTATAATATAAAAATTCATTTCAGATGCAAACATTTTGAAATGACCAGGTCATAGTTTTAAGATCACTCTTTAAAATATCATTTAACTGATCACAAAATTATATAATAAGGACCTTATATGGGTCTGGTATCATGTTAGACACGAAAGCAACTATAGCATCAAGCTACATAAATATTAGCACCATTTTTAATCTAGTCCAGTGAAATGTAAAACTACCCATTAAACTGATTTCTACCGAAGCAGCCAACAAGAAAAATCGTTTTACTTCTGATATACACTTTGCTCCTCCTCCTCTTTGCTGGTAATACTTTTGAACATTTTAAAGAAAGTACAGTCCGCCCTCTGTATCTGTGAGTTCTGCATCCATGGATTCGACCAAATGTGAATTGAAAATATTTGGGGAAAAAAGGATGATTTCATTTGTGCTGAACATGTACAGGCTTTTTTTCCCTAGTCATTATTCCCTAAACAATACAGGATAACAACTATGTACAGAGCATTTACATTGTATTCCGTATTTTAAGTAATCTAGAGATGATGTGAAGTATACAGGAGGATGTGTCTAGGTTATATGCAAATATTACACCATTTTATAGAAGTGGCTTGAGTGTCTGTGAAGTCTGGCGTTCTAAGGGAGGCCTGGAACCAATGTCCCATGGATCCTGAGAGGCGACTGTACCATAATATTCCATGTACAAAGTCTGCCCAGTACAGCATTATCAACCTAAAAAAGGACAGCGGAAAACCCTACAGATTTAACTTAAAAACTGTGCAGAATTCTTTTCTGGAAAGAATTATGGCTTCCAATAACAGCCATATTACTTGCTCTCTTTCTTACAATTTAGTCAGCTGAGTTCAAGTGACCATGTGTGTGTGTGTGTGTGTATGTATATGTATGTATATATATATATATATATACATACATATATGTGTGTGTATATATATATATGTGTGTGTGTATATATATGTGTGTGTATATATATATATACACACATATATGTGTGTGTGTATATATATATATATATATATATATACACATATACACACATACACCCTTCAAGTTGCTAGCAATTGATCTTTGATGAAACACAATGACAAAGATATTGCATATGAAATGGCATAAATACATGCCTCCTACATAATATGCAAGAGAGATCACCTTATAGCCTATTTTACATTTATTCATTTTTAAAATGAGTCTTTTAAAGATTCATTTAGTCAAATATTTCCAAGTAAATACAGTATTAACTAAAAGGTACAACTATTTAACTATAATCTTTTAAAGATGCATTTTAAAAATCAATAAATGTGCTTAGAAATTTTAAGGAGCAGAGTATCTATGTCACCAGAGGTGCCAAGTGTTTTAACGGCTCCTCAATAAGAGCAGTTAAAAGACAAAGAACCAATTCCTATTCACTTCTCCTCCTGTGGACTTAATGTCCAGCAGAGTGCTAGACATTATTGCTTCAATATTCTATTACTTTTATATTAAAAGCAATAACATAAAAAAAGCACATTTATGACAAATTGTTTTAATTAAGAACTTGAAATCAAAAATTTTAAAAGAGTTTTATGTAGCATTTAAGTGTCACTGGATTCTCGGTTTCAGACTTTTTCAACATGAAAGGTTAATTTTTAAACTATCTCACTGTCTTGCAGGTTGTCCCAAGAATTAGAAACACGATTACAACCATATTCATTTCTAGAATGAAAAGAAAGAAGGAGACCATCAAATTGTATCAACTCTTAAAATTTTCACAGGTTCAAAAGGTAATTGTCACTCTTTAAGAAAGGAGGAAAAGAAACCCTAACCAACTAAGGACTTGGACATAAGATGAAGGCTTTCAATTCATACTGATTAATTCAGAATTAATCAGTATGCACTTTAAAAGTACTTTAAATTTAATCTCGTTCATTTGTCTTTCACCTAAAAAGAAAAAATTGGCCAATATTTGCCTTCTAGGTCTTACCTCTGTCTGGAGTTTTAAGTAGTAAGTACATTAAATACAAGTGTTTTCTAAACAAGAGAAACGTCTGGGTGTTCAAATCTAGAGGAAGTCGGGTTTCTAAGGCATTCCGTCAGTGTGGGACCTGAAGCACTCTCCAAGGCCATCTTTTCTAGATTGTCAGCCGCGACACAAGCCTGAGCTGGATGGCTAACACCAGACATGCAAGAAGTGACTTCAAAGGAACAGTTTTCACAATCAGCTAACTACACCACACGTTAAGGTGATCTTTAGGTACCTGTGTCATTTAAAGACTTTAATAATAGTTAATACCAAAATTCACCGATTACTAGCAAGGTTGTTTTGGACAACATGTAAAATTTCCTCTTTTGAAATATACAACTCATTAGGAGAGCTCTCTAAGGAAACAAATTCACCTTAAAACTATGCAAATATTTAAAAAGTTTTTTTAAAGCTCACAATACTTCAGTATGTGTTTTCAAAGCTTAAACAGTTATGATCACATGTGAAGATTTTATAGGGAATGAAACCAATCTGTTCTAAAAATTGACTATGGTCTTCCAAAGACCCAGAGAAAAATATCAAGGTAATGTTCAGCCTCACGTCCACTCACACATCTTCAGGTGCCAAGCTGGCATAGGCAAAGCACCTTTCTTATCTCTTGTAAGCAATTTAGCACACGTCCTTCTAGTAGATTCCTATCTCCACAGGATGGAGAGGATGTCATCCATTTGATGGAAACCAGTGTTTTTTAAAATCATTTTTCTATCCCAAAGTAAATATACTCAAGAGAAGGAGCACTATTTACATAAATTTGTGCTTATGCACACACCACCATTCTCTCCCATTAAAGTGCAGATAAGAGCTACTAGCTAGGAATCAAAGAGTAATGTATTTCAACCTAAAGTTTGAACACTGTACATCATCAATACTTTGTTACTGTTAAGTGCTGTAAAGAAAAAGTAGAGATAGTCGGGGTGGGCAGTCTGTCTAACAGGCATCTTAACACCGGTCCCCATCCCAGTGGAACAAGCAGTGCCGAGTACTAAATGCAGTTCCACACTGTAAGTTCGAAATGTCATTGCCAGCTATTATAGAAGAGGCAAAAGTCCACAGCAGGTGTATGCCAAAAGATCAAGTGTGACGAGGGACTGAATCCACAGTATGTGTTCTATTAAAAAAAAAAAAAAAAAAAAGCTTGCAATAAAAAAGTGAGTCTTTGACTCAAAAGAAACTTCACTACTACCATACACACATATTGTGTTGTGTGCACTTCATCTATTGGAATGTATTTGAGCTATTAAACTATTAAACAGTAAGTGCCTAGATGCTCATTGAAAGAGAAAAAGAGACCCTCGCCCAGCCCAGATAATTCTTAAATGTCACAATCTACAGGAAGATGCTGCTGAACTGAAATACAAACAAGTTTAAATTTTTCAGGAACTAGCAAAGCTCTAGTTTCATTATACATGGAATCAATAGTAGTGTTGACACTCATTTTTGACTTGATATTCTTTCACAAAGAAAACAGCACATAAGGAAAACGAGTCTTACATTGTAGGATGGAATGGTCTTATAGCTACGGAATCTGGAAAGTTATTTAGAACAAGATGAAAATAGGCTCTACCTAAACTTATGAAAAGAATATTGAAGTGTAAGCATCCGTCGCCATTTAAAGGCATTTGGTGTCAGAATCTTAAAAGACTAAGATGCTTTAAAACAAAACCCTTATAAGAATATCAAAGATTTAGGGAATCTTCATGAATAACCAAATGTCTATGGCTTCAACTGTCTGCCCTACTGCCGAGGTAGGTGACCAATATTCATCAAAATAAAACAGTCTTTTACAAATTCCCTAAAAAAAAACCTTGCATAATCAGTTGGTTTCTTAAACCTGTGTCCAGTTTCTTTTGATGGTTTTTGTTTTGTTTTTCCTTTTGGTCACTGACACTTTCTAAAAGAGGCTGTCCACATAAATGTTTCTTTAAGCTCTCGCTGAATAGCACCTCATGTATTCTGTCATCCACGGGTTCTCTGAGGAGGAAGCCTTCATCCTTCTGTTCTTCTCTACATCCACAGAGTGGGCACGCTGCCGCTGGGCAACCAGTTTCCTTTTTTCCACCTGTCTTCTGTTCTTGGCTCGTAATGCTGACTCATGAATCTAAAGAGAGTTCAAAATAAAAGGAGAGTCACTTGAGTGGCTATTATCCTAATGTTCAACAAAGGTTGCCATGAAGCTGGCTACTGCCAGGTCACCAAGCCCCGCCTCTCTCTAGAGTTCTTCTTTACATAAAAATTTCCACAGAAGAGCCATTCTCACTTGACGCTACTCTCATTTGATTCATTTCAGGGATCATGAAACTAAGCAACAGCAAATTAAATGTTAGACAGAGATGGGAAGCAACTAATGTGCATGTGCCTCTAGAACGGGCTCTGGAAATTTGTCCAAACTGCTTAGCATTAAGCATAAGTACTTCATTAGAGACTAATATACAGCTCATATGAGGCAGGGGAAATAAAAGAACGAAATGTTTACCATCAGTATACCAAACACATCTCAAGGGACTTTACCACCTAAGGTGTCTTATACTACAGATAAATCCTGTTCAGATTAATCCTGTGGACTTGTCAGAGATCTTTTGTTAAACAGCAGCTTTGTTGTCTCAAGTATCACTCCAAATAACACCATCTGCTAGGGTTCAGAAGTCTGTTCAGTGAAATTTTCATCATGCTATTTATCCAGAACTGTTTGCAGTTACCCCTTCTGCTTCCTTGAACACATCCTTTGCTTTAGGCGGTGGTAACGGTGTTAACGCTAACGTACATGTTTTGTGACTCCACACAAAGATCCTCTCATTTGAAGTGTTTCCAGGCCTTGATACAGGGGGACAAACTAAGGCTAAATCAGGGGAGAACTAGACCTCCTGGGAGTAAAGAGCATTCATTATGGATGAAGAGGAGAAATGCAGCCATTTGAATTTCATCAGAAGAGCAAAAGGGAGTCTATGGCAGATGCCAAGCAATCAATCAAACAGACAAACCAAAGGTAAAGGAGTCAAAGTGCCAGGTTACTGAAGCTGAAGGAAACCTAAACAGCTCAAGGGGCCAGTGGCAAATCCAGACGGGCTGTCGTCAGCCTTGGCTGTGCTGCTCCTCCTTACTTCTTGGCCCTCCAGGAACTTGCAAACCCCAACTCAGCAACTTTTTTGCCCAGGTTGGTGTCACTAAACCCTTCTGGGTACCAGGTAACTCCCAGCCAAAACCCCTCACTCTCCAGGCAACCAACATGCAGAATCCTCCTTTGATTAATCAGAGGTTCCAAAGGTTTGGTGAGTTCCCCAGCCCACCATGCTATCCCCTAAGATCTCCCATGGGCCCAAAGCACCCAGTGGCCAAAGGATGTGATGCCCGATGACAGGCACATGGCCCCGCTCAGCACTCTCAAAGGGAACACAGAACCACAAGGGCCCAGAGCAGACCTCGTGCACAGGGGCGGATGCGCAGACGTTGTGAGTCTTCTGGCTTCCTGTATCCGTCTGTTTTTCTCCCCAGCCATAAAGAGCAAATGGATGCTTTTCTTTTATTTTACTTGATGATCTTTGGGGACTTTTGACTGCTTTCCTGTTTCCTCTAGCAAATAAGGCACTTGGCTGCTGTCGAGGCTCCGTCCTGGCTGGTGATTTGTCAGTCTCTCTTGTTCTGGTTGGTTGTTCAGGTTTCTCTTCTATATCTTTTCCTGGCAGTGCTTTTGGAAAGACATAAATGAGATGAAAATATACTTTGAAATCAGATTTATATATAATTACTTTAAATATTTAGGTCGAAAAATCATAATGCTTAAGTCAGTAACATTTTCACTTATGGCTCAACTCATATCCATTTAAAGCAGAAATATAGGAACAAGTTAGCAGGGCAATTTGCAAACCATTTATCTCATTTTAAAATCAACAACAAATATACCAAGATTGAACCACTGCCACTCAGATTCTAAGATTTAGCACCTGGAATGTTAAAAGCTAGAGAGCACCACAGCCTAAGGGCTTTCTCTTCAATTCCCCAAGATAAATCCAATCATCTCAATTTTGCTTTGCTTCAGGGAGAGATCTGGATTTGTGGTCATCCTCCAGCAGCTTCAGAAGGTTGGTGTTTGAGCACTCAAAAATGCTCCTTAGTCCCGCCGTGCTCCTCTTGAGAGAGGTTCCATCGGAAAGCCCCTCCACAGCACAGGGAGTGATTTCCATCGTTACCACCTAGGTGCGCAGACAGGTATTCCCCCTGAAGTGAGGGCCCAGTTTTAAGGGGGCTTCCGCGACGCTTGCAATAGAAATGACTCCATGAATCAGGCCCGGGTCTGTATCACACCCCTAAATTCTGGGGAACCTCCGGTGGTGAATGTGGCTGCCCCACCTTGCTATCCTCAAATAGCAAGGAAGCACTCTAAAAAATACCTATTCCCCTGAACTACCTTTTATGATTTTCTCATTTATTATTTTTTAAGCTTTCCTTTTTTATGAAATCGGTGTGATTCGGTATTAACCCTTGGTAAGCCTGTGTTTCCTTCCACCTACAGTTCCACTGAAGTGGGAGTTCCGGATGGGTCTAGGGCTCCATCTGAGGTGCCCAGTTGTTTACGCCATGGGAGACCCTTTTTCAGATGCTCCAGAGTTTCGCTCTTGGTCATGATTTTATTTTTCTGTTTCCTTTTTTAGAGACAGGGTCTTGCTCTGTTGCCCAGACTGGAGTACAGTGGTGTGATCATGGCTCACTGCAGCCTCAACCTCCTGAGCTCAAGTGATCCTCCCACCTCAGCCTCCTGGAAAGGTGGGACTACAAGTGTGCACCACCATGCTTGGGTAATTTTTTAAAAAAATTTCTTGTAGAGATGGGGTCTTGCTATGTTGATCAGGCTGGTCTCAAACGCGTGGCCTCAAACAATCCTCCTGCCTCAGCCTCCCAAAGTGCTAGGATTACAGGCCTGAGCCACTGCACCCAGCTATCAGTGATGGTTTTATAGATTGCTATTACAAGGTCTCATCACCTCTGTAGGACAGAATTTCACCATTACTACCTTTAGTCGTGACTGTTCTCTTGTCTATTTCTATTTCCCTTTAAAGTTGAGGGCGATCAGAGATAGGGGAAGAGAGGCCAGTTAGAAAAACATACTGATCAGACCAGCTGGGAGGTTGTGCCAGGAGGCTTTTTAACAAGGACCCTCCAGCCAGGCATGGTGGCTTACACCTGTAATCACAGCACTATGGGAGGCCAATGTGGGCTCCCATAGTGACTAACATGGTAGAACCCCATCTCTACTAAAAGTAAAAAAATTAGCCAGGCATAGTGGCACATGCCTGTAATCCCAGCTACTCGGAAGGCTGGGGCAGGAGAATCACTTGAACCCAGGAGGCAGAGGTTGCACTGAGCTGAGATCGCACCACTGCACACCAGCCTGGGCAACAAGAGCAAAACTTCATCTCAAAAAAAAACAAGGTCCCTCCAAAGCAGACAGCCCAGCAACACTGCAGCAGACTGACAGGTGGACGGACGGACAGACACCATGAGGACCCCGAGAAGGACCATGTGGATGCTGGGTTCTGTGGCTCATGCAGGTGTTCGGAGTGGATGGTCATGCTATCCTCTGACACAGCCCCCACAAAGGAAGAGGAAAGGGTGCTTGCCACCTCGGATGCAAGACACTTCTGGTCCCGGCAGCTGGACATTCAACTGGAGCTCAGAAGAGAAGACGGCATGGAGATGAAAGCCACGGCTCTCGCTGTGGACCAGGTCACCCAGGAGAAATGCAGAGCCGGAGGAAAGGAGGCGCAAGCAGGCCCAGGAACGCTGTTGTTTAATGAGCAGGCAAAGAAAGGAGAACCCAAGATGGGGGCAGAGGAAGGGTAGCAAGAGAGTAAAAAAAATTACCAGGAAAGAGGCTGAGCAAAGAGTTTCAGAAAAAGAAAGCACAATGAAATCAGTCCAGATATTACAGAGAGATTGGTAGGATGAAGATGAAGATTGGCAGCTCGTGGTCACTGGGGCCAGAGGGGAGGTGTGGGGTGGGGGAAACAGACCCCAGCTGGCTGGGGACTAAGCAGAGTAGAGCCTACCCATCCTAGTTCTAGGGGGCTACTGGACCCACCCTCCCCACTAAGGATGACCTGGAAAAGCTAAATGAAATTCAAAACTGGCCCCCATGGGCTAGCCATGTCTACAGGTAGCCAACACAAGAAACTAAAATCTTAGGAAAACATTAGGCCTCAAATTATTCCTAGAAATAACTTTTCCAGTGCAACGACCAGTGTGCTGGAAAGACAACCAGGCACACAGGAGGGAAGGCAAAGAGGGGGACCGGAGGAGCAAAAGGCCTGACATCCAAGGAGTCTTATTCAGACTACGAAATAGCTGTGCTTATAGAAAGATGCAAGAATGACCTGGAACAGGAGGAGGGAAAAGATGGACAATACAGAAAAGGTAAAACTCATCACCATAACGTTAATATATATAAAACTCTTTTGTAAAACTCTTGAAATAGTGGCTGGCACAAGAGAAGTGTACGTACGTGTGGTATTGTGTGTGTGTGTGTGTGCACACACCTATACGCCCATTGGTTTTTGTTCACAGTTCGTGGCTCATAACTCCCATAGCCCCTGTTCCAGTCTTTTGTGATAATGTTGGGTGTGTTAAACCTCAGGAGCAGGACTCCGAAGCAGAATCTCCTGCTCTACTTTCCCCTGCCCCAAGGCAAGACTCTAATCTTCCTGCCTTCTGATTGTAGCTGAGCTCAGGAGGTTCCTGGAGGCTGGTGAGAAGGCAGAGAAGCTTCACACCCCTTTCCCTGTGTCTCACACCCCTTTTTCCCATGCATCTCTCCATCTGTGTCCTTTCCAATATCCTTTTTTTTTTTGAGACAGAATCTTGCCCTGTTGCCCAGGCTAGAATGCAATGGTGTAATCTCACAGCTCACTGAAACCTCCGCCTCCCAGACTCAAGCAATTCTCTCACCTCAGCCACCCAAATAGCTGGGATTACAGGCATGTGCCACCGCACCTGGCTAAGTTTTGTATTTTTAGTAGAGACGGGGTTTCATCATGTTGACCAAGCTGGTCTCGAACTCCTGACTTCAAATGCTCCACCCACCTTGGCCTGCCAAAGTGCTGGGATTGCAGGCGTGAGCCACTGTGCCCAGCCTGTAATATCCTTTATAATAAACCAGCAAACGTTAAGTGTTTCTCTGACATCTGTGAGCCGATCCAGCAAATTAATCAAACCTAAACAGAGGTCATGGGATCCCCAATTTAAGGCTGATCAGTCAGAAGTTCCCAAGGCCTGGACTGCGACTGGAGAGAAGCAGGGGCAGTCTGTGAGATGGAGCCCTCAACCGGTGGGACCCGACGCTGTCTCCAGGCAGACAGTGTTGGAACTGAACTGCAGTGGGTGTCTGCTGAAGAAGTGACTGCTTGCTTGCTGGAGGGGAGATAGCCCCACAGATTTTAGGGTCACATATAGCCCCACATATTTTGAGGTCACAGATAGCCCCACATATTTTGGGGTCACAGACAGCCCCACACATTTTGGGATCACAGAGGTCTGTGTTCATGGTTGTTGTGTGACACCAGAGGAAAAAGAGTTTGAGAGTTTTTTCCAAACAATAAGTGTATGTTTCTAAAACCCTGTTTGAAAAAAACATCTTTTAAAATAAAGATGTCTTCAAATAAAAACAGCATTTCCACCAGCAATGGTGGAAGATTACAATGCCCCTTTGTCAGTAATTGGCAGAACATTCAAATAAAAATAAATTTGGTCTCAATTTAGAGCTGGTGGTCCAATACAATAGCCATGCGCCACATGTGGTTACTAATTTTTTTTTTCTTTTTTTTTTTTTGAGATGAGTCTCACTTTGTCATCTGGCTGGAGTGCAGTGGCATAATCTCAGCTCACTACAACCTCCGTCTCCTGGGTTCAAACGATTCTCCCGCCTCAGCCTTGCGAGTAGCTGGGACTACAGGCATGCGCCACCACACCCATCTAATGTTTGTATTTTTAGTAGAGATGGGGTTTCACCATGTTGACCAGGATGGTCTCGATGTCTTGACCTTGTGATCCGCCCACCTCAGCCTCCCAAAGTGCTGAAATTACAGGCATGAGCTGCCATGCCTGTCCTAAATTTTAATTAAGTAAGAGTAAATAAAATTAAAGATTCTGTTCTTCAGTTACACTAGTTATTGTTCAAGTGCTCAATAACCACATGTGGCTAGTGGCTACCCTGGTAGACAGTGTGGATGGAGAACATGCCCATCATCACAGAGAGAGCTGTACTGAAGAGTCTGATGTTTTAAATGCATTTAAACAGAATTAATAAACTTGACCAAATAGATGTATATAGAACACTGCACCCAACAACTGCAGAATATAAACCCTGATAAAGCATATACGGAACACTTATAAGAATCTGCGTATCCAAGGCCATAAAGAAATCTTAATATATTTACAATTGAAATTATATAAAATGTATTCTCTAACCATAATGTCATTAAACTAGATACACAAAAAAACTTCTAAAAATCCCTACCAGTTTCAAAACTTAAAATCGTTTCTAAATAACCTATAGATCAAAATGAAAATGCGGTTGCACAAAAATGTGAAGGTACTTAATACCACTGAGCTGTGTGCTTTATTTTATTTTTATTTTTTTGAGAAGGAGTCCCACTCTGTTGCTCAGGCTGGAATGCAGTGGTGCGATCTCAGCTC